CAGAGGTGATTGGTGGCCCCCCGCTGGTGTGTTATGTCAAATGTGGGCCTTGTGTTTAGTATGAATATGATTAGGACCTTGAAGGGTGAAATTAGCGTTCAGAAAACCTGTAATCCCAGCGTTCTCGAGACCGAGGGAAGAGGGTTGCTATGTGTTCAAGGCCAATCTTGAAAACAGTTAAGACCCTGATTCAAAACAAAATTCCGGCTTGGCTGACCACTCTTTTAATTTCAGCACTCAGAAGGCAAAGTCAGGCTGGTCTCAGTGAGTTGTAAAATGTTGAGGCTAGCTTATATACGAACCTATCTCAGAAAAAAAAAAAATTAAAGCAGGGCAGTAGTGGCTCACACCTTTAATCCCAGTACTCCAGAGGCAGAAGCAGGCAGATCTCGCGTTCAAGGCCAGCCTGGTGTACAGAGTGAGTTTCAGGACAGCCAGGGCTATTACACAAAGAAATCCTATCTCAAAATATCCCCCAGTGCTGGGATTAAAGGCGTGTGCCACCAACGCCGGGCTAGGCACAGGGTTTATATAGGGCTTCTTAGGGGCAGAGTTTTTCCAGGGTGGAGATTGGTCAGATTTCAATGCCTGGGTTTATAATGGGTAGATCTCCTGCTCAGGGATTGGTTAGTTTTCTCGAAGGTTTAGGGTCAGATTTGCCTCTGGTTTCAGGGCCAAAGTGTGTTTCTTTCACTGGTCCTTTTTAGCCTTTGGGCTCCAATTTTAGGGCCAGAGTATATTTCTTTCACTGGTTCTGATTCCAGGGACAAAGTGTGTTTCTTTGGCACTGGTTTCAGGGTCAGGGTACATTTCTTTGGTTCTGGTTGCAGGGCCAAAGTGTATTTCTTTGGCTCTGCTCAGGATGTGTTTGTTTGGCTGGGCCTTTTTCCTTACAAAAACAAACAAAATTATGCCCTGGTGGCACAAGCCTTTAATCCTAGCACTTGGGCAGAGGATAGCAGATCTCTAGGAGTTCAATGTCAGCTCAGGCTATAGAATTAAAGGGCCAGGGAAAGAACATGGTTTTTAAATGGCTATTTTGGCCTTTTTTTTTTTACAACTCTAATAGTGGTCTTATTCTCGAATGGTGGGATTAACAACACAAAGATAGAGAATAATAAATAATGCAAGGGAGCTTGTCTGCAGAAATAGAGAAGGAAGCTGATATGCTGAAGAAACAAAAAGGAATAGACCTTCCTACACTTGGCTATCTTGTCTTTTGATTCTTTTTTTTTTTTTATTTTCCTGCAAATTGCATGAGGCTTTATTGTTGTTTAACGAGCTAACCCCATGTTAGCTCGGGTCTTTCACCCACCTGCCATGGCGGATGGCTAGCAAAGACAGCTCGAACCAGCTGCCGAGAGATCTTGTAGGGCAGCGTAAGGGGAGTATCTAGGGGTACGCACAGGCTCAGGATTGGTGTGCCTCCAGGCTTGGAGGGCTTGTCCTGTGTTGATTGGCCAATTGGTTGTTATGGCCCATAGGCCCTCCCAGGGTAGTTGCTATGCTCTGCGTGTCATTGCTGTGCACTTGTCCGTAAAGCACACCCAGAGCGCTGCCAGCTAACTTCTGATTGGTTCCTTGCCACGAGGCAGGCATCTGACTTCTAGTGATTAGGACAAAGTCATGGCAAGCATGTGTTACTATCATGGCTGCCAAAATGGGGAGCTGGTCCCTTCATTCCCCCATTTGTCCTTTGATTCTTAAGTTATCACCATAACTTCATTACAATAAATTAATTTGCCCCTCCCCCCTTTTGACAACAGCTCTGGCTGTAGATCAGGCTGGCCTCAAACTTATAATAAGAGATCTTCCTGCCTTTGCCTCCCAGGTACCTGAGATTAAAGGTATGTGCCTCCACCTCTGGCTCTTTTGTTTCTTGAGACAAGGATATCCAAAGTCCAGGCTGATTTCCAATTTGTTACATAGCAAAGAATAACCTTGAAATTCTGATCCTCCTGCTTCTACTTCTCAAGTGCTAGGATTATATCTGTGAACCACAGTTTTCAGTTGGTGTGGTACTGGGAATTGGACCCAGAGCTTCTTGCACACTGGGCTTGCATTGAACCACTTGAGCTACGTGTTTAGCCCAGTTTTTTATTTTAACTGAAAATAATTTTTTTTTGAGAATTAGCACTAGCTAGCCTGGAATCCTTGTAGATCAGAGTATTCTCAAGCAGCTATCTGCCTGTCTCTATCTCCTGAATACTGGGATTTTTTTAAAAGTTTTTTTTTTAGTTTAATTTAATTTTTAATATAGAGTCTGGTCTGGTTTGGTAGGCCATGCTTGCCTTGAACTCTCAATCCTCCCGTAGTGAGGCAGGAGGTTCCATAAGTAACAGGTCACTGGAATGACTTATGTTTCTATAAGGAACATGTCAGGAAAAAAAAATAGCTAAACAACAAAACCAAAAAGACGCACTCCATGCTTGGAGAGGACCTTTCTGCAAGATCTGTGCAATTAATATGTTCAGATCCCAACAAAGGCAGAGAGCTGAGTGACACTGCGAATCAGAGGCTTCTCCATCAAATCATGCAAGCTGCCAAGGGGAGAGAAAAACTAACTGAAGTCAGAAGCCACTACTGATTCCTCATGGCAAGGACAATCAACTCTGTGCTCCATATCCAAGCATTTTATTTGCTTAATCAGGAATGTATTACTTACTGAAGTGTATGTGAAGTTCTACATTCCATACCCAGTTTTTGCTTCTCATTTGTCACTGACTACAAGGTGATGTGAGCCTGAGGATATAATGACTTTATTCTAATTTTAATTTCTGTGCGGTTTTTGTGGGAGGGGAAGGAGGGGCATTTCAAGACAGGGTTTCTCTGTAGCTTTGGAGGCTGTCCTGGAACTCACTCTGTAGACCATGCTGGGCTCAGACTCACAGAGATCTGTCTGCTTTGGCCACCTGAATGCTATGATTAACAATATGCCCCACAATGCCTAGCTGTGACATTCTTTTCTTTTCTTTTATTATTTATTTTGGTTTTTTGAGACATGGTTTCTCTGTATTGCTTTGGAGCCTGTTCTAGAACTGGCTCTGTAGACGAGGCTGGCCTCTAACTCACAGAGATCCACCTGCCTCTCCTTTGGAGTGTTGGGATTAAAGGCACAAGCCACCAATGCCTGGCTTAAAAAACAAAATGAATCAAAAACAAAAACAAAAACAAGAACAAAAAAAAAACCAAAACTACAGGCTGTCATGATAGTTGAGCAGTTAGAGCACTTCTTGCACTTGCAGAGATCTGGGTTTGGTTCCCAGTGCCCACACAGTGGCTCACGACCTCCTGTAACTCCAGTTTCAAGGCTTTCAACCCCCTCTGCTGAACATATGTACACATATGTACATACTGTCAAAACACTCACACAGATAAAGTAAATCTTTTTTTTTAAATTACAACTGTTTTCTTTATGGAGAAATTAATTTGGGGGACGATGCATATTATCTTCCATTGGACATAGATTTCTGAAGCTTTACTAACTCTAGATGGGCAAGGATCTCGTAGTATGACTCAGTGGTGGGGCCCTTACCTGACATATGCTAGGCCTGGGGTTCATAGAGGAGAGAGGATCAGGGAAGTCTCAAAACTGTTTCTGGGGTAATTAACACATTCTTCTTTTTTTAGTAGCTATCAGCAACTGGGATGTTTTGTACTCAGGGGAAGTCTCAGTCTGGCAAACAGGAAATATTTATCTCCAAGTCTAGCCAGTTTCAGGGACAAACAGTTCAGTTAGTGCATTATACAGTTTATGAGACAAGGAATGGGAATTTGGAGCATCTGTGTCTGGTCTGCCACAGGTCAACAGGGCACCAGGGCAGGCTGACCTAATCATATAAGGAAGAGTTTGTGTTTGCAATAAGCTAAAGGTTTTTTTTTTTTTTTTTTGTCCAGTTAAATGCAGTGTGTGTGTGTGTGTGTGTGTGTGTGTGTTGAGATGGGGTCTCACTATGCAACCCTGGCTAGGCTGGAAGTCACAGCTAGACCAAGCTGTCTTTGAAATCATGGATGATTCATTTGCCTCTGCCGCCCACTCTGAAGTGCTAGGATTACAGGCATGAGCTATATTTGGTTTTGTGTTTGTTTGTTTGTTTTGAAACATGGTCTCTCTACCTATCCTGGGCTCCTGAGTGCCAGATTAAAGGTGTGTGCTAAATTAAAGGTGTGTCCCACCATCACACTTTTTTTTGTTGTTTTTTTTGTTTTTTTTTTTTTTTTGTTTTTTGAGACAGGGTTTCTCTGTGGCTTTGGAGGCTGTCCAATACACTTATTTTTTTTAATCAATCATTTTATTTTGTTTACTGTTAGAGTGCTTCGGGGACAGACCCAGTCAGATTCCTTGGCAGGCAAGGGTTTCCAAGGCAGGGGACAAACATGCTAGGCAGACAGCGCTTAGTGAGAAGTTTTAATAGAAAAGGGGGGAGGAAAGAGAAAAGAGGTAAAGAGACACAGAGACAGAGAGAGGACAGAAGAGGGAAGCAGGAAATGTTCTGTCTGCCTCAGGGGAATAACAGGAGAGAGAGAGAGCAGGAAAGAGTGTAAGTGGTCGGGGATCTGTCTTTTAGAAGGGTCCTTTGCACCTGCATGCAAACTACGAAACCATGGAACCCTGGCTGAGCTGACCAGGGTACTGCCTGAGTGCATTCTTCCAGGTGTCAGGGGCAGGCCAGCATAATGTCTGAATCCTTACATTTTCCTTTTTGGTTTTGTTTATGTTTCATTCATTTTATTTATTTATTTTCATATAGGTATTTTGCCTGAATGTATAACTGTGTACAACATGTGTGCAATACTTTGGAGACCAGAAAAAGTTGTTGGATCCTCTGAAACTAAAGTTAGAGTTGTGAGCCATCATTCAGGTATTGGGAATGGAATCCTGGCCCTTTATAAGTGTAGCCA